GTTTTTAGTTTTTATTAAGCTAATAAGATGCTAAAGTAGCTAAATGTTAGCTTTAGGGCTAAAAACATTTCTGGCTAAATGTGCAGTAACAGATGCTAATTCAAAATAATTTCACAAAAGTTAAATACAGTTTTATGCAGATTATGAATAATTTATGGCATTACACAATTAAATGCATTTCAATTCTAAACCTCTAAGAACTTTTTGTTTGCTAAAACAGCTAGCTGTTAGCTTAAGGGCTAAGTGCATTTAGGCTAAATGTTATCTACAGTGAAACTAATTTATCAGAAGATTCATGCAATTTTATTAAAAAAATTATGAATGAGTGTGTAATATTTATACAATTAGGTACAGTTAAATGCTGAGAAGAAATCTTTCATTTGTGTTAAAATAAATTTTTGTCTTAGCTGAAACCGCTAACTATTAGCTTTTGGGCTAAAGCATTTTGTTTTACGGGTTAGCTAGCTCAAAAATGTAAAAAAAAAATAGGAATGAACTTCATAATGTTCCATATGATTGCTTACAGCTTAATGTTGATAAATCAATAAGAACACTTGTCTAAAATTAATTAAACTTTTGGGTTTGTTAAACGTAATCAGCACACCAAGTCAGGTTGTAAGTAATGTAAATGTTGGCTAATTGTAGCTAATGTTATTGTTTTCATAGTGTTTAGTTGCATTAGCTAAAACATTGAGTAGTTCGCTAAAACAGTTCAGGCATTTTTAATTAAGTAGGGCTAGAAGTATTATAAAGCTAAATTTCAACACTTTACAACTTAACGTACTCAAAATCTCTTTAAAATGTAAAAATGCATGAATTGTTTTTAACAAGTATCTGAATATATTAAAACTTGTCAGTCAAAATGATCTGAAAATTTACCCAAACCTTATTCTAAACGAAAAATCCTAAAACGTTAACCAGAATTTTCAGCTATTTAATTATGATGCTAATTATACTGGTAGGTGAATTTAAATTGAAACTTATGCAAATTATTGTAAATAAAGTTTTTTTATAGTAAAATATAGCCAATCAGACAACATGCCTTTAACTGCAATGGAACTTTAGTTATATTAACTTATAATTAAATATGACATATATATTAGTAACACAAACAATCATCTCCATACGTACAGAAGTTGTCATGAGCTGTGAGTCAAAGAAGGGAGTGCAGATGGTTTTGGGTTTATCTCTATGTTGTTGTCAAACCAGTTTGGCGGGATATTTTTTTACAGCCCAGCAATGCAAACCAGGCAGCCAGGCCGAGGACCTGTCTTCAGTTTGCACTTCCTGGTAAAGTATATCTTTCCGTCTCACTGCTCAAAAAACACAAAGGAGTCCAGGAGAGCTGCAGGTCAACAACCAGTGCAGACCGTGGAAGACTGTTGCAGTCTGTGGTTCTGATTCACAGTACATTAGATGACAAACACACATGGCAGCCAGGTGAAACATTAAAGGATCAGAATTAGTCATAAAAGTCATTCTTCACACCAACAGATAAGCTGGTATTTTTTTTATGTGAGGAGCAGAGCTGACAAAGAGAAATGCCACCAGTCTTGTTGTTTTTCAGTTTCTGTGCGAAACTTGCTGAGTTTCAAGTGACGACACTGAGGGTGTAAAAGAATGTAAAAATGCAGTTATGAGAATTTAGTGGGAAACATGAAGACGGTCTCTGAGTTCAACAGATATAAAAGTAGAGAGGAAAAAACATGAGAGACTCTCTCTGGGATAGGCTGTGTTCACTCCCTGAATATCTTTAACTGTTTGTTCAACACATTTGTGTCATTATTATACTTAGTTTTTAATTTTATAAGAGAGAGAGTTTCTTCCTTGAAGAAACACATATCAGTCAATACCTTTTACACAAGAGTTTAGATTATTATCTTATAACACGTGTCAAATTAAGGCCTGTGGGCCAAATGTGGCCMACCGCAGTATTTTATGTGGCCCATGAGAGTTTTATTGTATGCTGCTTTACAGCCAGCATCAACCATAAACTACATCTCCCATTATTAATGATGTTTAAATCAATTAGTTTATTATTTTACCCACAAAAAGAAGGCTTTCACCACTAGATGGAAGTGCACGGTAGGGCTGTGTATTGGWAAGAATTTGGCGATACGATACATATCATAACAGAGGGGTCACGATACGATATATCCCGATATATTGCGATACTGTAAGCAAGGCAATATATTGTGATATATTGCGATTTTTTTCTTCAAAAATTCTATTAAATAAAAACCTCTTACTGAAAAAAAAAAAGCTAATGTTTACTTACAATGCTAATGCTACCCTTACTCTCTGGCGCTCAAGAGGTAGAGGAGCBAAATGKCTGGCTCACTGCTGCCAACTAGTGGTCAGAGGCTGAACTACAACATAAAAATGAACGGTTGGCAAGAAGGTTGACWTTTTAAACCTTAATAAAAAATCAATACAGGGCTTTAGAATATGGATACAGTATCGGGAAATGAAACATCGCGATATTTCAGTGTATCGATATTTTCTTACACCCCTAGTGCACGGGGTTCAAAACAGAACTGTATAACAGCTGGAGTAATTTTTGACCATGTGATGTACTGTAGAAGCTGCAGCTCTGCAGAATGGGCAAGAGTCTGGATTTAAATGTAGTGCAGCAGATTAAAGTGAAAAGACAGAAAGGTGATGCTGTTTTATCCACTTTTCTACACTGRAGTTTATTTTTGTTATAGGTGGGGGCACCAGACCAGTTTAACTGATAAATATTTCACCCTTTATTAATCATAAACACTGAAGTGTGAAGGAACGCTTTGTCTTAAAAAACCAACAAATATTCACTCAGTGAGGAGAAAAACAAATTTGTCTTTTGAAGTTTTCTTACAAAAATAGTGAATAAAAATGAATGGAATAAGGAATAAACAAACAAATATATATAATTTGGAAAATGAATGAAATGGATGAGCTGTTAGAWACAATCTAAGTATGTTTTATACGTTCAATGAATTTAGACACAGTTTAACTATTGATAAATAGTGTACTAATTTGGAGAGTCTATTTTAGATTTGATCAGATTGTTATGTTTATTTATTCATTTATCTTTTATTTATTACTGCAAGCAAGGAAGTGATTTTCTCAAGTTTTGCTTCAGCTTTAAAATGCTCAACCAGACCTGATCCCACTTGTCGACACCCAGGATGAGACCTTACCTGTGAGCTTGGTGCACAGGTTCCTGCTCAGTGCTGAGGGGCGGCTTGTGGACCCTGGTCTCCAACCAAGGTCAACAGCTGTCCAAAGGTCACACCAAGSCTGGAAGTTGCCAAAGCAGGTCAGAATTCTGCTCGTGAGAAAGAGTTGTTGCTCGTTCACAACTCTTTGGTCCGGATCTCTTTAAACTAAAAAAGCACAACCTCCGGTTTAAAACGAGTTTTCTTCTTAACTATTTCTGTTACTTGGCTTTAATAAAATGAGTTCTGAGTTAAAATGTTGCTTATTCAGATACAAATGAAGACAAAAAAAAAAAACACATTAGGAGGGAAAACAAGATGGGACTGAACTGACACGTCTCCAAACAAAAGATATATATTTTGTCTGCACGTCAGTAAAGGACTGTTTATGAATTCTCTCAAGGTCAAGATAAAACTCCCTCGGAGTGAAACGAATCTGTCCAAAACACACAGGCAGGCAGGCAGGAGCCTGGGAGTCTTGTCTGAAAAACAAAAAAAATAACATATTTAAAACATATTAAAACATTTCATTGATKCTATAATAGTAAACGTTATAACTATTGTCACACAACAATAAACATTATTGTGTAAAACATGCAATGACAATTGATAGTTAATAATTAATGACAGTTGTTTAAAAATTACTTATGTTGACTTTATAACCTAACATTAATACTGAAAAAAATTATAAGTTATAATATTGTTACAGATAATGAACTGGTTGTCAAATCCTGAGTAGGGTAAACAGTGCCCTCTGCTGCTCAGTCACAATATTACATGTTGGACGCTTGTTTGACGTCATCATCAAGCGACGATTTTTGTCTTTTCTGTAAAGAAGCTTCGCTTTCTTTGTAATGACGTGAAAAACTACAAGTAATATAAATTTGTTTGACAGGAAAATATAATCAAGCACTTTATTGAAACACATAGTGAGTAACAGCAGTARCAAGTACACCAATGGCGTAAACACGCGGCTCGTTAGTGGACTGTTTACGCTTCGTTATGCCCAAACTTTTCGACGTTAAGTTTCCAGGCGGATGTAACACTCTTCCTGACGGGTTCTGGTCGGCGCTGGACGTGTGGATAAAGAAGCCCCATGTCGTGAATAAACGTCTGTGTGGAGTTAAAGAGACGGGCAGCAGAGATGTAGGCAGAGAGGACCTGCGCTTCCTCCTGGTGGAGGATGATGGTGACGTCATGTCTTTCCTCTGCACCGTTTCAGCAGCGCGCACACACGAACAGGACACACCGTGGTCATCTAGTGTCAGAACYTTTATCCCCAAAGTGAACAGCTATGGAACAATGGTGCAGAAAGAAATGATACTGAAAGGTAAAACTGGAGTTAAAGGTCATATTTATTGATTTTGTTATACTTTTGATGCCATTTAATATATATA